AGAGCAGTAGAACTGACTAATGCTGATGGGAATATGTTCTCAAACAGATAAGGCTTAGAAAGCCTGTCTAAGTCGGGTCACATTCTCCTCTAGCGAGTAATGTGACTTACAAACATCCCCTCCCTCTGCAATGTTCTAAAGAGATCAGCTGCCATGCTGATAGCAGTACCGCAAATTTACACCTGCTTCCTCCTGACGTTAAAGTTTAGCCACAGTTCCCTGTGACGCAGCGGAGGTAAATCAGAGGGGGTTTGTATACACTTCCATTCTCTCCTCCCTGATTTTTGAGTGTCTGAATGGGAACACCTCAAAACAGCCTACATATCGCATGAAACCAAACGTGCAAATCCCTGCAGTGCCAAAAACCCCCACTGCGATACCTTAATGAATATGAAAATGCGATTATACTGTTTAGTGCCAGAAAATGAGCCAAAAACTTCAGTAAATATCCCCCTAAATAGATCTGTCAAATACATAAAGAAATCTCCAAAAAGCTTAACATTTTAAACATTCAAGCATCAATTTTTCTTATTTTACAACAAACCAATGAAACTGTCTGAGGGCCTTAAACATCAGGGTTAAGTCCAAGACTGACCGTGACCCACTTCAGTTTGGGCATATGTGCCCATGACCTGAAAGCAATTTGCCAGAGGTAACCATTTCCTGGCCTGCTCAGGGTCACACTGTCTGTACCAGGTCGGAGTGAAGAAGTAAAAGTGTACCCTGATGGCCTCCTGATGGTTGCCTGTAGCCATACTGGAGGATAGGAAAATAAATTATACACAACTGAAGCTGCTGTTATGCAAACATTGTGTAAATGAAGTACCGTTTGACTCACTATGCTATGGAAGCCCTGAAAGACATTTGCAGAAAGCTGCAGAAAGCTTGAACGTGAAGAAAAAAGTACACTGAAAGTTCAGTAAAAACCACAAATCTTATTGCAATGTAAAAACTGCTGCTTTTGTATCAAAGAACTAAACATCTAACTGATACTGTCAATAAAACATGTAAGAGACATTTACATGGATCCTATAGTTGACATTTCTGTAAAGGATGTTACAGCTGGTAAAATGCTGCATACCCTCTGACACAGTTGTAATCTCATGATGAACTTTGCTCCAACAGAGTTTGTTTGCTTTAGGGTTGCACAGGGCTAGATTGTCAGTCAAGCTACAATTTGTGTAACACACTGTCGTCAGAAGAAAGAATTTAACTGATTTTTTTTTTTTTGTATTTCATTTTGAAGTGTCCTTACTTTCTACACCTGCCTATTGTTAAGTTGTCTGTGCAACGTTTTCCAACAGCTAGTGAAGCGATGTTAATAACACAGCTACATATACTTAACAAGGCAGAAATTACCATCTCTACCATCATTACCAAGTTCTTTGATACAAAAGCAGCAGTTTTTACATTGCAATATCAAAATGTACCCTATGAACACAACTGTTAGGACAAACGTCTATGAATTTTCCACGTGATTTAGATCTGTCAAATTGATACAAGAAATCTCTAGAACTACTCTTGCTACTGAAGTTTTCCAAACCTACTGAAAAGGGTCTTTTTTCCCCCAAACTTTTTTTTAAACACTCAAGAACACAAATACCAAGTCATGCTATTTTACAAGAACCAAATGAAACTATGACTGAGGAGCTTAAACAACAATTAAGTAAACACTTAGTTAAGGCTAAGTCCAAGACTGACCGTGACCCAGTTCAGTTTGGGCATATGTGCCCACAACCTGGAAGGAATTTGCCAGAGGTAACCATTTCCTAGCCTGCTCAGGGTCACACTGGCTGTGCAGGGTCGGCATGAACATGGAAAAGTGTAGCCCCATGGCCTCCTCATGGTTTCCTTTAACCATACTGGGGGATGGAAAAACACAACTGAAGTTTAGAATTGCTGTTATGCAAACACTGTGTAACTGACATACTTTCTGACTCACTATGCTACAGAAGCTCTGAAAGACTGTCCAATAACATGGCACTTGGTCATCTGTAGATAAAAGGTCAACATGGACCTGAGCTGCAGTACTCCATCATTGGGACTTGATAAACATAAAGCATATTTTCTTATTTACACTGAGTTTACAGATTCTTTCTAGACACTGATGTAAAATTACTGGGACTGACATGAAGCCCCACTGACCCCCGCCCACATTCAGCAGCACTATATCAGCAGTAGAGTCCTTCATGTTCCTGGTCTCCAATATCTCCCAGGACCTGGAGTGGACATCCAACATCAGCACCATCACCAACAAGGCACAGCAGAGGATGACAGCCTCTCTGGTGGGGATGCAAGCGAACAAGGATGTGACCTGCTCCAGGAGCTGCTGATACAGTTCTACAGAGGAATCATCACTGAGTCTGTTCTCTGCACATCCATCACTATCTGATTTGGCTGAGCAACCAAAAAGGACAGGAACACACTCCAGCGAACAGTCAGGACTGCAGAAAAAACCATCGGTGCCAGCTTGCTCTTCATGAAGGGCCTGTACACCTCACGGGTCAAAAGGAGGGCAGAGAAAATTTCTGCAGGCCCCTCAGAGCCTGGACACAAACTGTCTGAACTCCTGTCTGTGCAGATTCCCAGTCATTCAGGTCATAGTAAACTTAGAAAAAAATCAACTGGACTAGATTTCTAGGTCGAAGACGTTTCACCTCTCATCCAAGAGGCTTCATCAGTTCTGACTGACTGGTGTTGAGCCGGAGATATTTATCCCCCTCGGCGGTGTTTCAGTCCTTTGATGGTCAACAATGTCCCCTAATGACTGAGTTGTTATAGCCTGGTATCAGTGAGTTGTTACCTGTCTTTGAATCCTCCCCTGTGGACCGACGCCTATTGTCCTGGTGGGCATGTTTGGGCAGAGATCTCAAAACAGGATTGTAGATGGATGACAAGTTGTGTCTTAGTCCATTACCCCTATTTAGTGAGGGGTGTTCTATTTTTACGAAAATAGCTTCCTTAACTCCTCTCCCAAACCAGCGATGTTCTCTGGAGAGGATCTGGACTTCATTGTCCTCAAAAGAATGTCCTTTGTCCTTCAGGTGGAGGTGGACTGCTGATTCTGGTCCATTGGAATTTGCCCTCCTGTGTTGGGCCATGCGTTTGTGCAGCAGCTGCTTAGTTTCACCACTGTACAAGTCATCTCTGGCATCCTCACGAGTGAACTTGATGTTGATATCCACAGAGTTGATATGCTTGGTGAAAGCCTCTACCTCCTGGGTCCTGATTTTAACCAATGTGTCATTCACGTAGCGGAACCAATGGCTGGAAGCGGTACCAGTGAAGGAAGACAGGGCTTTCTCCTCAGTTTCTTCCATGTACAGGTTGGCAACTATAGGAGACACAGGGGAGCCCATCGCACAGCTGTGTTGCTGCCTATAGAAGTGCCCCCTAAACTGGACGTAGGTAGTGTTTAAACAGAGTTCCAGCAGAGTGCATACATGGTCTGGAGTGAGGTTAGTCCTGTTGTTTAGTGTGCCATCCTTCAGCAGTCTCTTCTTCACCGCCCTGACAGCCTCTGTGGTGGGGATGCAAGTGAACAAGGATGTGACATCATATAAAACCATGGTCTCGTCCTACTCCAGCTGCAGTTGTTGGAGTTTCCTTGCAAAGTCCTGGGAGTTTATTATGTGGTGCTGTGTGTTTCCCATCAAAGGAGCCAGGATGGTGGCCACATGTTTGGCTATGTTGTAAGTCACAGAGTTGATGCTGCTGACAATGGGTCTGAGTGGGGCTCCTTCCTTGTGTATTTTGGGTAGGCCATAAAGGCAAGGGATGGCCTCCCCGGGGTATAGTCTGTAGTATAGTCGCCGGTAAAAAACTCCCTCCTTTTCCAGCTCTGTAAAAGTCTATAACCTTCTTCTTGTAGCCACTGGTGGGGTCCCTCTTCAGTGCTTCATAGGTGGTGGTGTCACTGAGGAGATCGGAAACTCTGGTCTGATAGTCAGCTGAGTTTAGGACCACTGTACACCTGCCTTTGTCTGCTGGAAGGATTGTGATGGTTTCATCCTTCTCTAGTACAGCTAAAGCCCTCCTTTCCTCGGGGGTAAGGTTCGGGGGTGGGAGTTTGGCACTGGCCAAAGCGGCTGTGACCTTTATCCGCAGTTCTTCTGCCTCTGTCTCGGCACTTCTACAGGCAGCAACACGGCTGTGCGATGGGCTCCCTGCGTCTCCTATAGTTGTCATCTGGCAAAAGTGCTGCATTGACCAATCATGTATGGGGGTGATCAGGACATCTATCTATCAAGGCTGACACACTGGTAGTAGGCTGCGTTAGCAGCATGACTAAGCAAAACACAATGGAAACTCATAGGCTGGAAACCTGAATGAAGTTGCTCATGTCAACTGCCCTCTGACACAGTTGTAATCTCATGAAGAACTTTGCTCCAACAGAGTTTGCTTGCTTCAAAGCTGCAAAGGGCTAGATTGTCAGTCAAGCTACAATTTGTGTAACACACTGCCCCTGAAAGACATATTTTACCAATTTTTTTTACTCTCATCATTATTTTCTAAACATGCCTACTGCTAAGTTGTTGATACAGTTACCGGACAATTGTTGAAGAGGTTCTGTAAAGATGATAAAATGATTCACCAGGTGGGGTGCATTCATGGAAAAAGGATCATCATCATTAAAAGTGCAATGGGGAGAATAAAACATTATACATTTCATTTATTTTATTTTTTTACATTACATCCACTGTTAATGACTGAGCCAATATAATGATGCCTGAGCTACACCATGATATCCTTTGGTATTTAAAACTAGCATTGGTAATGTCATGTAGTGCACTGCACAACAGTTAATGAACAATCCAACTATATTAGTTGATTATTTCTATTAAATACAGTCAGGGTGTAGAGGGATTACAGACAACCATGTATACAACATTCAAGAAGTCTAACTTGTGAATTACACCTTTGATACTGACTGTACTACTGTATATCTAACAGAGGTGTTTAGAGTCTTTCTCTGTATTAAAATCTAAGCACTTAATATAAATGTTAAGAATAAAAAGTAAATACTGTGTTTGTCAACTAAATTTACTGTAATTACGGAAAACAGTATTTATTTTTTTCTGCTACATCTGGTGAGAAGGTGAGCATGCAGTTTTAAAATACTAAACTTTTTTAACATGTCAACTTTTTATCACATACTTCTTAAAGAAGTAGATCTCATCTGGGTGTCCAATGCCATACTCTCTCATCTTCAGGATCATTCGGGCACTTTTTCTAACAGCCTGGTCATAGCGCTCACTGCGAGACAGGAAGTTTGGGTCCTCCTCCTCAAAGTCTGGGTCGTTGAAAACCAGTGTCTCTACAGTGGATAATGAAAATTTAATCAGAAATGTATCTTTTAGTCTGTAGAACTGGAAATAGTGCCAAGATTTATATAACCATATTTGTAAGTAAGATTCAAGAATGTGCACCCACATGTGAAAATGTGTGTTAATTTCTTAGTGTGAATCTGGATCTGAAAATGAGCATGAATTACATATAGTAGAATGTAGACCATAGTTGTATATTCCCAGAGGCTTATAGTTTGCCAGCATTCCTGGATGTACAATGATCACTGCCTTTTGGCCCTACAAAGTACAGTACCTAAACTTTGAAAAGCAATAAATACATTGAAAAAAAGGCAATAAAACCCATTGTTTCTCCTTGTGCACTATTCTATTTTAGTTTGGTGGTTGAACCTCTCCAAATCTCTGTGAGGTTGATGGAACTGAGGTCTCCCTGCACAAGATTACTGGCACGTATGAAAACGTAGAAAAAAAATCAACTGGACTTGGTTTTAGGTAGAAGACGTTTCACCTCTCATCCAAAAGGCTGCATCAGTTTTGTCCGGACAGAGCTGATGAAGGTAGGTGAGCTAGCTTTCTAAATACTATATAAGTGTGGTGCATTCGGGAGACACAGCACGTTAGCTAGCTAGCTACCTAGTAGCTGTAGAAAATCAACTGCTCCATAACTTATAGCTAGTAAAAGAGGCAGGGTTAGCTACCTTTTCTTTACAAGCGATTTTAAGTGTCTACAGTAACGAGTATAATAACTCCCATACAACAACACATTTCAAACTCACCTATTTCTCGTCTTCTTTTGGTCTTTTCTGGACCCCCGTCCAAAATGTTGGTTAGTTTCTCAACGTCAAAAGTGGCGTTTTGCCGCTCTTTCATAATATCAGGATTCATGGCTCTATATCAGACTGAAAAATAATACTTTACTGTGTGAAGAACAATGACAATAGTGATGCACCTTTTCCACCTCAACTTGAAGGCTTCGCTTCTCCAGAAACGGCCTCCTCCTGACGCAGCCGCAGGAAGGTGGAGAGAGGTGGGGACTGGCGCGCCATGTGACCTGTACCCCGGAAGTAGACTTCCTTCTTCAACCACATCCATGCACTTCACTCACATTATTCAACTATTCCATTTTTTTTAATCCAAGAGGCTTTTTCTTTTCTTTTTACACGATGCTTCCCGCGGCTGCTGTTTTTCATTTCCCATGGGAAGTAAACTGTGGAGCAGTGCAGGAAGGAGAGTCAGTGAGAACGTTTGGCAGGTGGGTTTTTGTGACTAAAGGACATCGGTCGTGATGATGTAAATGGAAAATAGAATTTCTTTTTTGGTACAAGGAAATGTATGATTTATGAGATTTTTAAACAGTGAAGAAATGGAACTTCAGGTTTGATACGTCAAAGCACAATATTTTTGTTCTGGACAGAAAAAAAGTAGTGAAGTCTCCCCTTTTTATGTTTTGACTTTCACAAATAGAAATGAATTAAACCTGATTTATGAAGTTTAAATGGAGAAGAAGCAGAACATTTTTTGTCTTATCTTCAAAATCTGCTTAAGTAAACTTAAGGAAATACAAAGGTGCTGTGCTGTTTATGCAGTAGCAGAACCCGTCAGGCAGTTTTATTATACAGTAATATATTTTTTAACTGTTTTAATGTTGCATTAATTCAGTTCATTTCAATTCACTTTTATTTGTATAGCACCAAATCACAACAGAAATAATCTTAGGGCACTTTGCATAGTAAGGTCTAGACCTACATTATTATTAGTATTATTAATAATAATAATAACATTGAGGAAAAACCCAACAAATCCCCCTTGAGCAAGCATTTGGCGACTGTGGGGAGGAAAAACGTCCTTTAAGAAATGTCTGAAAGACTCTGGCTCTTGTAGTTTATTCTATAACAAACCATTAAAACAAACCATAAATAGTTTTTCTTCCCCTTAATCTGCAAAGTAACTGTATACCAGTTAAGATAATAATCAAGGTATAACAATTTCCATTTATTAGTAAAAATACATTTGGCACGTGTTTTACACCGGATCCTGACACAACCCTGAATCAAACCCGGGCCGCAGCAGCAAGAGCGCTGCGCCCTAGCCACTAGTCTATCAAGGAAAATAGAACATAACAGTTTACAATACATCTTAAAAAAAAATTAAAAACTTAATGAAGTTAGATTAAATTGTTTCACCCAGGCTGACCTGGACATTAAACCCACTCAGCACTGTATTTTGTAAAGATTTGTTCAATTTTTTTCAGACTTGTATCCTATCAACCTGAGGAGTCCAGGGCTACACTGTCAGCTCAGCATGCTTCGAAAGAACATAATGTGGTCATCCACACGTTGTTTGTAGAGCCTTTTAATCCAATAATTGGGGCCCAGTACTTAGTCCTGGGGGAGACAGAAAATGCTGAGGGTAAGGAAACACCTTGTTGCATTACAACTTTGATGTTGAACCATTTATTAGGATTTTCAAACACCAGTTTTTTGATTTGTAAGAGTCCACATAGCAGTCAGACAAGAATCTGCAAGTCTTATAACAAAAATATTCACTTATTATATTATTCAAATGTGATTACTATTTGTAGATATTGTAAGGATATTGGTATAAAAGCTGTCACAGTTGACATGTAATTTTAAAAGAACTATGTATTTTGCTTATTTGCTGAAAATATAATGTGATACAGAATTCAGTGTAATTCATCCTTACAGGATTCAGTGTGAAAGATGTAAAACACTATCAAGCAGCTGTATGGCTATTCATTTGATTCCTCTATAATTCCTGCATCAGATACAATAATCAAGTTGAAATAGAACATGAAAACTCTTGATCACCGGGTTTCACAAATCCTTTTGCCTCAAACATCTGCCCGTATTCATATCCTCTTGTCTTACAGGGGTCGGTGTGATGGTCCACGCCCGTGTGCTGAACTGTGTTGATGGTGTGAACATAGCCCTTCTACAGAAAGCCATCAACGAACAAAGGAGCTTCTTCAGGGAGAGGGAGTGCAAACAGGGTGATGCTGCACAGCCTGCAGATGCAACCTGATCAGGGTCTTCATTTACCAAGTGTCCCAGCACACTCATTGATTGACAGAGCTACAGCACCGGCACTTAAGTTGCACTAAAAAAATTGTACGGGAGTGATGTTTTGTGAGTGAAGACTGTTAAATATATTAGTAATGACTTTACTTTCATCAGTTTATTACTAGATTATCTACCTCTGATTATAATAGTTTTCTGCACTTTGTGAAGAGTTGTTATTTGACAATTAAAAACACAAAATGAATGGACTGATATAGAATTTCATGTTTGGTCAAAGAAGACTTGATAGTAGATGGTTTAGGTCCACAACAGGTTTAGATCCAGTCATGTCTCTCCATTTGAAGACATCTGATAATAGTAGTTTTTCAGTGGTGCCATTTTATATGGTGAAAATGAATGACCACATGCTTACCATAAATTTGTGGTCTGATATTCAAAAATATTTTAAGAATTGTTACAGTAATATGTAATGTACTGGTAAAACCAATTATACATATAAATTCAACTGACATTAAAATGGCAACAATTTAAAATACATATATTAATTCGAATCACTTATTGAACTGATCTAACAGCTAAAAAGCCATATTCCATTTTTTTTAATCCAAGAGGCTTTTTCTTTTCTTTTTACACGATGCTTCCCGCGGCTGCTGTTTTTCATTTCCCATGGGAAGTAAACTGTGGAGCAGTGCAGGAAGGAGAGTCAGTGAGAACGTTTGGCAGGTGGGTTTTTGTGACTAAAGGACATCGGTCGTGATGATGTAAATGGAAAATAGAATTTCTTTTTTGGTACAAGGAAATGTATGATTTATGAGATTTTTAAACAGTGAAGAAATGGAACTTCAGGTTTGATACGTCAAAGCACAATATTTTTGTTCTGGACAGAAAAAAAGTAGTGAAGTCTCCCCTTTTTATGTTTTGACTTTCACAAATAGAAATGAATTAAACCTGATTTATGAAGTTTAAATGGAGAAGAAGCAGAACATTTTTTGTCTTATCTTCAAAATCTGCTTAAGTAAACTTAAGGAAATACAAAGGTGCTGTGCTGTTTATGCAGTAGCAGAACCCGTCAGGCAGTTTTATTATACAGTAATATATTATTTAACTGTTTTAATGTTGCATTAATTCAGTTCATTTCAATTCACTTTTATTTGTATAGCACCAAATCACAACAGAAATAATCTTAGGGCACTTTGCATAGTAAGGTCTAGACCTACATTATTATTAGTATTATTAATAATAATAATAACATTGAGGAAAAACCCAACAAATCCCCCTTGAGCAAGCATTTGGCGACTGTGGGGAGGAAAAACGTCCTTTAAGAAATGTCTGAAAGACTCTGGCTCTTGTAGTTTATTCTATAACAAACCATTAAAACAAACCATAAATAGTTTTTCTTCCCCTTAATCTGCAAAGTAACTGTATACCAGTTAAGATAATAATCAAGGTATAACAATTTCCATTTATTAGTAAAAATACATTTGGCACGTGTTTTACACCGGATCCTGACACAACCCTGAATCAAACCCGGGCCGCAGCAGCAAGAGCGCTGCGCCCTAGCCACTAGTCTATCAAGGAAAATAGAACATAACAGTTTACAATACATCTTAAAAAAAAATTAAAAACTTAATGAAGTTAGATTAAATTGTTTCACCCAGGCTGACCTGGACATTAAACCCACTCAGCACTGTATTTTGTAAAGATTTGTTCAATTTTTTTCAGACTTGTATCCTATCAACCTGAGGAGTCCAGGGCTACACTGTCAGCTCAGCATGCTTCGAAAGAACATAATGTGGTCATCCACACGTTGTTTGTAGAGCCTTTTAATCCAATAATTGGGGCCCAGTACTTAGTCCTGGGGGAGACAGAAAATGCTGAGGGTAAGGAAACACCTTGTTGCATTACAACTTTGATGTTGAACCATTTATTAGGATTTTCAAACACCAGTTTTTTGATTTGTAAGAGTCCACATAGCAGTCAGACAAGAATCTGCAAGTCTTATAACAAAAATATTCACTTATTATATTATTCAAATGTGATTACTATTTGTAGATATTGTAAGGATATTGGTATAAAAGCTGTCACAGTTGACATGTAATTTTAAAAGAACTATGTATTTTGCTTATTTGCTGAAAATATAATGTGATACAAAATTCAGTGTAATTCATCCTTACAGGATTCAGTGTGAAAGATGTAAAACACTATCAAGCAGCTGTATGGCTATTCATTTGATTCCTCTATAATTCCTGCATCAGATACAATAATCAAGTTGAAATAGAACATGAAAACTCTTGATCACCGGGTTTCACAAATCCTTTTGCCTCAAACATCTGCCCGTATTCATATCCTCTTGTCTTACAGGGGTCGGTGTGATGGTCCACGCCCGTGTGCTGAACTGTGTTGATGGTGTGAACATAGCCCTTCTACAGAAAGCCATCAACGAACAAAGGAGCTTCTTCAGGGAGAGGGAGTGCAAACAGGGTGATGCTGCACAGCCTGCAGATGCAACCTGATCAGGGTCTTCATTTACCAAGTGTCCCAGCACACTCATTGATTGACAGAGCTACAGCACCGGCACTTAAGTTGCACTAAAAAAATTGTACGGGAGTGATGTTTTGTGAGTGAAGACTGTTAAATATATTAGTAATGACTTTACTTTCATCAGTTTATTACTAGATTATCTACCTCTGATTATAATAGTTTTCTGCACTTTGTGAAGAGTTGTTATTTGACAATTAAAAACACAAAATGAATGGACTGATATAGAATTTCATGTTTGGTCAAAGAAGACTTGATAGTAGATGGTTTAGGTCCACAACAGGTTTAGATCCAGTCATGTCTCTCCATTTGAAGACATCTGATAATAGTAGTTTTTCAGTGGTGCCATTTTATATGGTGAAAATGAATGACCACATGCTTACCATAAATTTGTGGTCTGATATTCAAAAATATTTTAAGAATTGTTACAGTAATATGTAATGTACTGGTAAAACCAATTATACATATAAATTCAACTGACATTAAAATGGCAACAATTTAAAATACATATATTAATTCGAATCACTTATTGAACTGATCTAACAGCTAAAAAGCCATATTATGTTATTTAATAGGTATATTATTAGATATAGCTGGATTACTAATGCATTATTAGATTACTATTAGACTACACATACAGTTGGGTATAATCTGGCTTACTATATAGGCCACAACGTTCACTATGCAGCTACAGTATGTGATAATAATATTAATGTAAAATGTCAATGGGTTATGGTAAAAAAAAATAAAGCACTATAATGTGTGTGTTGTCCTCTGTAGTGCATGTTCTCCAAGCACATTGTTTAAATTTTTTATCATGAACTGCATGGCCTATTTACAGAACTACTGCGTACAGTTCCAGGGCTATATGGAACTGTCATTACCATGCACAAATGTTGTACATTGTCTTGTTCCAGCTTCTCAGATATAAAAATCTGCTGCATATCTTTAATTTTTTTGCTACAAAACTGAATATCTGTAGGCTTTGGACTGTTCATCAGACAAAACAAGCTGCATGAGGATGTCAGTTTGCATTCTGCAAAATTGTAATGGACATTTTTTCTCATTTTCTAATATTTTGTAGACTAGTGGTCATTGATGATAATAAAAATAACTGCAGCCCTTGTTAGATGGGAAGTTATGAGCAGTTCAACTAAATCATTTTCTTCATGTGACTAAATCTTAGAGGCCTAAAGAGGCAAACTATTTCACAGAAAAGCTATAATAATCAACATAATAATGTGACTTTTTTTTTAACTTGGCAGTACTCATCTGGTGAACCCTCATACTTATCCTGGCAACCCTTTGGTTGTCCTTACCCCCTGGTTGGGAACGACTGTATTGATAGATTGTTCCTTGAAATGACATCTAGTACTTCACTGGTTATATTAACAACCAGTATGATCATGTACACTGGGTGAACTGGTGCCCACTATTTGTTATTTGATTCCACTTGAGGAATACTGACAGGCTTGTGGGATTTAAAGTCACCCAGGTTCTGTCTTTTGACTTTCATGAAAATAAAGATCGAAAAACAGTCGACTGTACCTGCTTGTGTGTTTTATTTAAAAGACCACACAGCATTAAATAAAAGAGGGAGTCCATGCTCTTTAACCATTATAATTTAAATTTATTGATACAAAGTATCAAACAAGATTGAGCTCAAAGTGAACAGTGTCAAGAATAGCCCACGAGTAATACAGAATCAATCATTCTTGATAAGCAGCATTGCACCATGTACCAGTATCCCTAATAACACGATAACAGCAAAGATCAACTGCATTTTATTCTGTGTATTTAAATAAAAGCAAAGAAAAAAAAACAACATTTGCCCATATTAGCCTTATTTGGTAAACAAAGGCAACCCAGCAGCATCCATTTTGGCTAGACAGAATAATTTTCCTGAGTTAAAATGTACACTGTAATTAATGAGTAGATTTCATATGGATTCCCATATTTAATAGCACAATTTTACCACATCACACATCAGTAAATTCCAGGTATGTTATAAAAAATATCTAGAATCTTGCATATTTGTTGTAACCAGACTCAGAGGAGGAGGCAGGCAGCATTGGTAGGCCTGACTCTGGGTCTTTCTTACAACGATCCAGAGCCTGTTTGTAGTTGATCTTCTCCTTTGTAATTGGGTCTACAATATCCTTGATGTATGCTGACTCAGACTGCAGCTCCCTCATCATTGTGCTGTCAATCATTTTGGACCCTAAGGCATCGATGATGCTTACTCTGCGGCCACTGTTGGGATCGACCAGCCCTCCTGTCAGGTGTTGTGCCTCCATGTAGGGAAGGGCAGTGTTCTTTGGCATCCAGCCGTTCTGAACAGCCTGTCCTACAGACAAAAGATCTCGGGTTGTGGGGTCTTCAATGCCAGTGAAAGCCTTCTGGGCATTGAGCATCCTTTGGAGTTGACTGTCCTCAATGAGGCCTCTGGCTGCTGCCTTGTGAACTGTGTATCTCTCTTGGTTGTTGATGTCAATGATGCCGCCTGTTGCTGCCTGAGCCTCCAGAAGCCTTTGGGCAGTGGTAGGGTCAATCAGTTTACGCTGGGTAGCAGCACGTACTGTATAGCAGGTATCAGTATTTGTATCCATTACTCCAGAAACTGGGTAGATTTCATTAGCTTTGGAGGAATATGGGGGTGCTGAGTTCACTGTTGTGGAGGACTTTGGGATGATTGAGTTGAGCTTGGGCTGCTTCTTATTTTCACCTGCAACCATCAAGGCAAACTCTGAGATGGGGAGCTTGCCTTTTTTGTACTGTTGGACATCATAGTCTGTCAGTCTGCCTTCCTTCAGGGCATTTTTGATGGAGTACTGCTTGCCACTCTTGCGATCCTGCAGTACAGATGTCTCCCCATCAGGTCCCAGGGAAGTAATCTCCTCCCAGTCACACTCCAGCTCTTCCAAATGAAGGTACTGTTGACGATCAATTAGGCCCTGCAGGTAGGCATCATAAGGAGACATGTCTTTGCCTGTTTCTGGATCCAAAATAGTGATTTTGGTGGAGACGTTAGTCTCTTTGGTCCTTGTCTCTGCGTGTTCTTCTCTCTGTACATTCAGCAGAAGCTCTCGGATCGTACTGTCTCTCAGATGGATCTTGTCTTTCTCATCCAGGATCTCCCTTTCTAGGCGGTAGACATCAGACCCCATCTGAATGCTCCTGTGCTTGTTCATCTGTGTTCTCTCAGTTACTAGTCGATTGTGCTGCTGGTAAGAAAGGCTGATGTCATGTCTCTGGCCCTCAAGTTTCCTGAGCTCCCGAGTGAGGTTGTCCTTCTCCCTCTGTAGGGCATCTCTGTTCATAATCAGGGTAGTCTCCTCTCTAGAAGAACTGGACTTGTTGCTCATCAGCAGGTTTATTTTATCATTGGCAAATTTGATTTGTTCCTCCAGGTCGCGTCTATCATATTTATGCTGAGACACCTGTTCCCTCAGGCGATCCCGCTCAGATTCAACAGCCTGGTCTCTCTCAACACGGACAATCTCTTTGTACACTGTCTTCTCCCCAGACTTCTCCCTCTGCAGGATCTCAAGCTTTAGAGTGATGTTACGGATGTCTCTCTGAATACGCAGGATATCGTTGGTTTCCTTGTCCATGTCTGACCGAAGACCAAATGTCATCCTCTCCAGTTTTGGGTCTCTCTCAACCTTTAGTACCTCCTCAACAATAATACTCTCTTCAACAGGAGGCGGTGCATTTTCCAGCTGTGTGATGCGCAGTCGAATGTCTCTGAGTTCAGACTCAACTTGAATTCTACGCTGGCGCTCATCACTCTCTCGGAGGATCCTCTGTTTCTCTTCCAACTTTGTTCTTAGCTGCTGCAACTCTAGTTCTAACTGTCGCCGCAACGTTACTTCATCATCTAGGGCCCTGCTGAGCCGCTCATGCTCAACTACCTGCCTTGGGTCCATCTGTAAACGCAGAACTTCCTGCACAACTACTTTCTCCTCAGGTTTCTGTCTCTCCAAAAGGATGTATGTGTTTTGCAGGTCAAAGATCATTTCTTCAGTGCTGCGCCGCAGCTGTGCCTCCTCCCGCACAACTCTTCTCAAGCGTTCAACTTCTTTCTCCAACAGTGGGTCGGGTTCATACTTGATGACCTCTTTGGTGACAAGTTTGGTCTCTACCTTGGACTTTTCAGCCTTCCATTCATCTCTGTCTTTCCTGAGAAGTCTCACCTGGTCTTCTAGGGAGAGGTAAGTGGTGTGTAAATGGTTTAACTGATCGTTTAGCCTCTGAATCTCTCTCTCATTTTCAGGGCTTCTCTCCTCTTTAACCACCTCTTGGAGAACTTCCTTCATCTCCACCTTGGGCTTCTGAGAACGAAGGATATTCAGATCAGACTTGACCTGGATGAGCTCCCTGTCTACATCAGAGCGCTGCTTGCTGGTCTCTTGTATGTCTTTCCTAAGTCGCATTATCTCCACTTCTGTGTTCGGGTCTATCCGAAAGAGCTCATTAACAATTTCCTTCACCTCAACTTTTTGTTTCCAGTCTTGAACTTCCCGGTAGCGGCTGTGGAGAGTCATCACCTCTTTGTTCAAATTGTCATTTTCAGTTCGCTCTTCCTCCAAACTTGTTCGAAGCCTCTTAGATTCATTGATAAGTTCAGGGTCTTGTTCAATCTTTTTCACTTCCTTAGTGATTATTTTAGGCTGGATATTAGGAAGCAGTCTCTCAAGTGCATTAATCTGACTCCTTGTCTGGAAGATATCATCATTGAGGAGCTTGCTCTTGTCGCTCTCCTCTGCAATTTTCAACTGAAATGTTTGCACTGCTTTCAGCATCTCTGGGTCCTTCTCCACTTTCAACACCTCCTTCTTAACCACCCTCTCTTTGATGGGTGGTCTCTTCTGCTGCAGAATAGTGACTTCTGTCTTCATCTGAATGTGCTCCCCATCTCTCACTCTAATTTCCTCTCTCAACCTTGCTATTTCGTCTCTCAACTTAGCGGCCTCTACATCTAGCTGAGGATCTTTCTCAAACTCTGTCACCTCTCTGGTCAACAGTTTGGGTGGAGCATTTTTGATGGTCTCCTCTAGGATGGTCAGTTTCTTATTAAACACCTCAATCTCAGTATGGGTAGAACTACGCCTCAGGGTCTCTTCATGGACTGCATTGCGCAGGCTAGTCAAATCACTTTCCAGCTTTGGGTCCCGGTAGTACTGTAGTACTTCTTTCTCCTCAAGACGCTCCACTCCTCTGCGATTCTTCAGTGACACATATCTGTCTTTAAAGGTTCTCAGGTTTGTCTCAGCATGAGCTGTCCTCTCCTTCTCTTCCTGTAGCTCTTTTATAAGAACATCTAGGTCAAAATTACTCTTTGGCTGACTTTGAAGGTTAATTTGTTGCTGTGTCACCATTTGAACTTTGTCTTCATTCTGGATGGGGGGAAATATAAATGAATTTAAGGAAATCAGTTACCATGTGATTTGTTTTGTGATGTAGTTAGTTTTAAACTGAACATACTGTGGTAGTAGAACACGTGAGAAATGCTACACCATTAATTACATGCAGAGGTTTTATTCATGCCTTGTTCTCTTACTTGCGAAATAAGATTCTTAGCTAATCCCAGCTGTTTTTGGCGTTGGGTGTTTTCAGCTGTTGCCTTAGCGAAACGGTTCACCAGATTCTTTTCCTGTAATAAAAAAAAAGTTACAGCAACCCATCAGCTGCCTTTAATTAATAATTGTAATGTATTTAAATTATGATAAGAGCATAATAGTTTAAAAGTTTACCTCTTTCTGAACAGCATCAGAAAGTGTGGGCATTCGAGATTTCTTTGCAACAGTGGCGCCAGCATCCTCAAGTGTACCGTTGTATTTATCAACGTTGGCATCGTACTCCTGCAGAGATGTGAAAAGAATTAGGCTAGGCATTTTGGCTCATTAATTAAATTATTCAGGCGTGTCTATATTGCCCTTTGTGAACTTTTTCTACATAAGGTTTTGAAATAACAGCCATAGATTACAAAGGTTATCAAACAATTTTATTTCTGATAGTAGGGTGCAGGATTCTTTTGTTTTCAACCATCTAAAACATAATTCTCTCATTTATCATTGTAGTAAAATCCATTTGAGCCTTACACTGAATAGATTCTGCAGGTCTAGAGACAGATCAGCCACTCTGTCCATGTCATTTCCCTTCCTCTTCAGGTCATCCATCACCATCTGCAGTAAAATGTTTAACCAAGTTTTTTAGTGCGAGTTATTGGTTATACAGGTGCTGGTCATATAATTAGAATATCATCAAAAAGTTGATTTATTTCACTAATTCCATGATTATAACTGA